GAGAAATTCATTCATGTTCCCCAAGTCATATATATACAAAATGAACAAGCAGAAATGTGGACCTTGGTCCTCTTACTGAAAGTTCCAGTGCTGTTTTTGTATCTTCTTTTTCTTCCTAAATGCCATTTACATATCAAAGCTGATGGAGCTCACTCCTTCCACAAAGCCTCCTTCGAACATATCAAATAATACTGATCTCTCCCTTATCTGAGCTCATTTTGCTCTTGTTGTTAATAGGCTGTCACTTTGAGACTTACAAACCACCCTTGCTCTGACAAGGCAATCTCAAGGTCTCCAAACTCCTCATTCTATTTTTATTTTTCCCAAGATACATCTCAAGCCAAAAACTTCGAAGTATCTAAGAGAGAAGCATTTCCCAATTCCAGTTAAAGATTAAAATGAAAGCTCATACAGTTATTGACTAATGTTGCTTGCTGTTTTCATGTGGGTTTTGTTTCCTCAACTATATCTGTGCAGCCCTTCATCAACCAAATGACGGATTGTGTTCCAGAGCTAACTGGTGAGTCCACAGTTTGCAGTGTGGAATGCTCTTTATTCTAAACAGTAATGATAAACAGCGAGTCTTCATTTCACCTAAAAGATTAATTTAGCTTATTTAGTGTATGATATAGCTTAAGTAGTGATAAAAGTCAACAACTAGGTCATTCTCCTCAAAAACTGGAATTCTGAAAGCAGCGCCTGATCTCCAGCTATCACAGGGAAAGGGGATTGTCGCGCACAGCAGAAATTAACTACTCAGGGAGAAAATTCCTTGTCCCAATTGTTATGTACTAAGGATAGAGGGAAAATGGACCACCAGGAAGATTTCCCAGAGTCTGGAGAAAGCGCCTGCTCAAACCTCCTTCACGGTCCATGGCAGCTACTCTCTTGGGGAGGACATTCGCCATCAAGCCGTCTCACACACTTCCCCACCGCAAGTGGTCATCACACCCTGCAAAGAATCTTCCAGATTGGTGCCCTCCTTGTCATCCTAATCACCACCACCTTTGCTCCGACTTTCATCACTTCTCAGATGGGTTACAGAGGCCTCCACTCTGGGTTTTTGTGCTCCTACTCTCCCTGTGTTCTAATATACGACTCACCCTGACATTGACCACGCGATTTCTCTGTTTTAAATCCCCTGATAGATTCCCACGGCCTTTAGACCTCTTTCTTAGGACACAAAACCTTGAAGATGTGAAGCAGAATTAGTTCTGTAGTCTCATCTTTCTGCATTTTCCTCCCCAGCCAAACCATTCCCTACACAGTTACATAACTGTGTTCTCTGCAGCTTCCCTCCCATTGCACGTAAGAGTTGTTCCAGGAACATGTTGTCTGTCTTTCTCTCTTCTTACCTAGTTGCTGTATTTCCTAATTCTCTGGGGTCCCTCCCACCTTCCAGGAATCTGCCTCATGTATCCCCTATTAGGTAACTCTCTTTCGTCTTTCATGGTGCCCTACAGCTTGTCACATCACCATGTGATCTGTCACCTGCTTCTCTCCCACTGACTGGGGCTCTAGATGGGAGAAAATGAACTTCCATCATCCCAGGGACTATCCCAGGGCCTGGCATCATGAGCATGTGCTGAGTACACTGTTGCTTAAGGATGGAATGAGAGAAAGATGAAGGAATAAAGGAAGGAGAAATGTAGTCATTTGAGAGCAGGTATAAAAAATATATATTTGTAACTACCCATTGATATTTTAATGAGGTACAATTAAGCATTTTTTTCTTTCACTGACAAGTACAGAAAAAAATTTAAATTCATCACTGGAAAGTTTTTGTGAAAACAAAGTAAAGATTGCTGCAGATAAAGACTTAAAAACAGCAAATGCATCATTAGAGAATGAAGTGTATCTTGTAGTTCTTATCTAATTAATTCATTAGATAATTCATTAATTCTTATTTAATTAATTCATTTTAGTGACTATTTTACCAACTGAAATTAAAAGAAAAGTAGGCCCTAGGAAAGTTGCTTTGACATAGGTTAGGAGTTATTTAAAGGTGACTGATTTTCTGAAATCAGAATTATGACCTATTATGGAATGAATCTATACAATATGAGCCACAGAACTGGTCCAGTTTGAAATTTTAGTCCAATTTTAGTTAGATAGTTTAAGTCCTGCAGGTTTGTTCTTTCTTTAAAAATTGCTTTTGTTATTCTAGGTCCCTTTCATTTCCATACACACTTTAGAAAAGCTTTCAAATTTCTATAACAAAGCTTGCTAGGCTTTTGGTTAGGATAGTTTAATTTCTCAGCAATATTTTTTAGTTTTCAGTGTACATTATGCTAAATGTATCCCTAAATATTTCATGTTTGGAAGAGCATATTTTCATTCTTCAATTGTGTTTACTAGCATATGGAAATACAATTAATTTCTGTAGATTGGCTCTGTCCCATGAAGTTGCTACATTTGCTTAGTAGTTATGATATACATCTGCAAATGTAGGCATATTTGCGCCTTCCTTCGCAAATGTAATACCTTATATTTATCTTTCTTGCCTAAGTGCAAAGGCTATGACCTCTAGAACAGTGCTGAGTAGAAGTGTTAAAGAGCAGGAGTACCTATCTCATTCCCAATCACAAGGGTAGAGAGTATAATATACTATAATATTTGTCATAGGTGCCTTTTATTATTATATATTGAGGCCGTTGACTGCTACTGCTTGTTTGTGAGAATTTTTTTTAAATCAAGAATGGATGTTGAATTCTGGCAAATTCTTTTCACTTATTTTATTCATTTCTATGGATTTTCTACTTTATTTTATTAATATTGTGAGTTCTATTGATTTTTTTAAATTTCAAAATATTAAGGGGGTAAAATGCTTTAGGTTACATGGATCACTTTTGTAATGCTTGAGTCCCAGCTACAGGGGTGCCTGTCACCCCAAATACTGCTCATAGTACCCATTAAGTAGGTTTTTTCCTCAACCCTCCTCCCTGCTCCCCCCTGGTTGATTTCGACTGAGTTTTATTTCCCTCTGTGCACATGTGTGCTCATCGGTTAGTTCCAATTTTGATTTTACAAATGATCGATCCCCGGGTCCCACCTCCAGAGATGGTTATTTAATTGGTAGAGGCTACAGCCTGCACATCGGGCCATTTTTAAAGTTCCACATACAATCTGAATGTGCGACAAAGTTTGAGAACCACTAACCAGTGATTTTTTTATTTAAAAAAGAAAAAAAGGAGGAATTCCCCAGGAATCTGGAAGATGGATCTACTCCAAAAGATCATGATTTGTTTTGTCTGGGTTGCGACCAAAACTGCACATCAATATTTTCTTAAATCTCCCAGGAGACTCCACAGTGCAGCCCAGATTGAGAACACCTTGCCTTGCCTAATGCTCAGTCATGCTGATCTGTTTGTGAGGCACATCTCCTTCCTCAGGGCTATACTGCCTACCTGGTGGCTTAATGTTAATTTCACAGAAGCTTATTTAATATATTTGAAGAACAATCGCATGGAGCTGTTAATCATATTGTGATCAGCTACATTATCCTGATTATCTGGGCTCAATTTCAGTTCATTTGACCTTTGCCTTAGTCAGAAAGTCTGGTTGCCTTTCCTGCAAGGGCAAGTGACACAAAGAGCAGCCATGTGCATTTTTATCTAACATTTCTGTTCCCTGACCTGGTTCCTTCAGAGCAGATTATATAGAAGACAGGCTGATGTATATTTTGCCCTTCACAAACCACAGCAAGAGTCAATTCTGCTTATAAGAAAACACTTGGGAGACAGATACTAGATCACCTCCCACTTTTATGTATCTTCAGAAAATCGGGAAAAAAATCAAGTATCCCAACTCTTATATTCAAAAGTGCAAGGTAGAAAGAGAAAAATGTCATGAGTATCTTTAGTTTGTGTCTGACCGAAGATATTTTTTCTTACTCATTCACTGGGGGAATTTATTTTTTTTCAGAAATACAGTGTTGATTTCTTCATATGACTGCTAAGTCAGTATCATGTTCTTTTGCAGCAAGTAGATAGAAAATGAATTCCTTTTCAGCCAGAAAGGAAGGAGAGGTGACAAGGGAACAAGGACTAGGGACTGAGGAAGGACTGGGAGCCTAGTACTTGAGAAAGAGTCTGCACAGATCTGTTGATTATCCTGGACATGGTGGAAACATCCCCCTCCTAACAACAACTCTCAGACAACAAAGTTTGAGAATTTTAAATGCAAATAATCAACATTAATATAACTAACTCTCTAATTTCATACAGTTACTTTTGCAATGTGGCTGACCACTGTACTGGTAGATAAATGCATGCTACTCTTGGGGAATCATGAATCCACAGAATATCCATGTTTGACAGACTTCAGAGAACACTAACTGCTTATTCCACAGGTGAAGAGTGTGAACCTTAATGGGAATTTGGTGACTTGAACAACGGTTTGAAATAAGACTAGAACTTACCCTTTTATATGTATGAGACCACTGCCAATGTTTTCTGTAAGTTAGACTACTCTATTTTAAATTTTTCTGTAAATAATACCACACTCTGCTTGGTTTAAAAAATGTTGCAACAGCTTCCCTATCAAAATAATGATAGATTTGATGCTAAACGGAGAGATGAGCAAAGAAAATCATATTTCTAAAACGAAAACAAAACTATAAAAAGCTACTATTTGATAGCTCTTTAGAAAAACAATGATATATGGCTTTGAAAAATATTTTATTTTTAAAAGCCCTCATCTAAATGGTGAGAGGTATTCTACGCAGTGCTATATACATACTTTGGTTCTCAATGACCACTGAGTAAGCATACGTAAGTCCTATTTTATGAATTCAATCCTGGGGCTCCCACGTTTCATTCACACATTTTTTAGCTGCTAATTACTTGAACTATCATATTTTAGATAAATAAAACCTTGTCTTGGAGTTCAGGGGAATTCATGGTTGGTTTCTACAGTTATATTTTTTAGTGGGATAAGAGTGAATTTCTCTGTCGAGTTCAACGCCCTCTGCACCGTGAGGAGCGACTTCCTCTGCTCACCTCTCACGATCAGCTGGCTTTGGTGCTCCACAGCCGCCGCCTCGTTTCGGGCTATGCAGGTGTAATTCCCATTGTGCACCAGGGAGAGGTTGGAAATCCTCAAGGAGCTTGTGAAGTCAATGTTGTCAATGGTCACCCCAAGGCTCCCGGGGATCGGCCGGCCATCCTTCTGCCAGGTGATGGTGATGGGCAGGTCCCCTGAGACCACAACACACGGGATGAAGACCCGCTGCCCAATAGAGAATCTTGGAAACTCAAAAGGTTGGATAAAAGGCGGAACTGAAAGAAAAGAAAAAAAGGTAATAGAGGAAAGATAACAAACCACGTGCATAGTCTACATTCCCTTTTCCCTGAGCCCTTTCACACGGCATTGGAAGAATAATACTGTCATTGATGTAGCACATAAATACGGGAACTGTAGTGGATTTGAAATTAGGCTTCTGTTATTTGAGTTTTCTCATCGTTCTAAGCTTAAAGCATAGCTTGATTTGTACTTCAGTAAATACGCTTAACCTAATTCAGTTCAATAATTTTTTTTTTAATTCAATAATCATTCTTGAAAGAAAACATTTCAGACTCGGTGCCCTGCAGTGTCAATACTGTGAAAGAGGGATGTGGGTTTAGTTTTCCCTTCAAAGCTTTTCCAATTAATGTGTCCAAGAGCAGATTTCTTTCCCACTTTGCTATTATCACACTACAATTACGGCGTCTCCTTCCAACTGCTTCCTTCCTCCCCAGTAGGCATACTCCAAACCTGTTGGAGAAGCAGACATTCCAATTTTGTTGTTAAAGTTCTGTTTTATGTCCAACTAATAAAGAGTGTTAATTACAAATAACTCATTTTATGTTAGAATAATTGCATCTTTACTTTGCATCCCTTAATCTTACACATTCTATGTGACTTTTTATTATGAACTCGTCCATGGAAGTTGTCTGAGCTGCTGAGAGGTATTGCTAATGAAGACAAGTTTATACCCTTAATCCTGGCCAGCTGTGCACACAGCCGACCCAGGCCGGAAGGCTCTTTCTTGATTTAATTTCTCCGATAAACTCCTATTTGCTCCTCTTGCCTCAGGAATACTCTTCCTTGGTGCCTTCCTAGATGATTCCATAGGGTATTAGCATCCTAAAACGGTTAAAATGGAGTCAGGGGAGCTAACTTCGAATTCTACCTCAGTTAACTTATTAGTTATGGATCATGGCTAAGTTATCAATTATTAATATGCTGTTTCTATCAGCCTGTGGGCAATTATTTACAGCCTCACTTTGCAGATGAGGAAAGTGAAACTCAAAGATGTTACTTTGCTCTTGTCTTAGAACTAGTTAATTGTTCTATGAGGGCTTAAAGCAAGTCTATTTAGCTAATATCAGAGCCTGTATTGTTAGCCTTTGTTGTGTTTTTTGCATGCGTTTTTTTAAATAAGGAAGTTTATTTTTATGCAGGGGTTTGGAAATGACTAAGGGTATAAACTAAGATGCTTAAGCAGGTAATAACCTAATATTATGTAAACAAACTATTATACTAGGTGATTTTAGAACTAGAATGAAGTTATTAAATAGCAGGATGTCTGCAGAGTTTGTCTGTTTATTAATCAACTGTGGTTCATGTCGATTATCAACTAGGAGAGATGTAAGGGATCCCACTGAGAAATCTGAATGGAAAACCATTTGCTCATTTATTCATTAATTCAAACAAGTAATGTTTATTGAGCACCTGACGTGTGCTTGGCAACACTGTATGTGTGGGGCATGCATCAATGAACATAGTATACCAGTCTCTACCTACTGGAGCTTTCATGTATAGCCATGGGCAGAGATAGCAACAAAGCACAGACATGGCCATTCTCTTATTTAATATTATTGCTATTACCACTATACGCCTTTAAAAGCAGTTGGGAGCTAGAACTCCGAATACAAATACAGCCAGAGTTAGAGAACAACTATGCAGATGGCTCAGGTTAGGTCTTGCCAGAGAAATGAAAAACAAACATATAAAAATTGCTGAAGATACCAACAAGCACACTGATGTCATAACTTCTGTGGGTTCTCAATGTAAAGTTAAAGCTTTGCGTTTGAAGTGAGTTGATCTGATGCTAAGAGAGAAAGATTTCAGGATGAGGTTCTACCTGGTGCTGGCAGACAGAATCAGGTCAGATTAAGGTGTGATTGTTTACAGCTGGAATGTGCTGGGGACAATGCCAAGTTGTACCAAATGTGCTTATCCTTCTTTAAATGTTTCTCCAAGTTATATAAAAGATTACTATGTATGTAAATATTATTTACAAGTAATAAATTGCCATTTTTTATTATAAAAAATATTATATTTCCTCTTTTTTGGTTTCTTACACACACGGAGGGGGGAGGAGGGAGGAGGGGACGGGTATTTGTATACACAAGGAGTGCAATGCGCACTACCCGAAGGATGGACATATTTGAAACACGGACTTCGGTGGCGGGGGGAACCAAGGGCAACACACGTAACCTAAACATATGTACACCCATAATTTGCTGAAAAAAAAAAAAAAAAAAAAAAAAAAACCTAGTTGTCAGCATACTGAGACCAACCTTGGCACTTCTCTTGGCTTGGTGCTTGTTATCTAAATTGCAGATCATTTTTGTAAGATAAGAACTTTGGAGCCAGACTACCTGGGTTTAAGTCCAGCTATGCCATTTACTATGGTTACTTAACCCCTCTCTGGGCCTCAGTTTCCTTATGTGTAAAACAAAGAGTGCTGCCTTAAGCTCTGAATGAGTTAGCTCAGTGATTTGCAAACTTCAGCATGCATTTGAATCAGTTTCTTAGCATTAGTACTATTTCACAAGACTTTAAGATGAGGGACAAAAACAGTTTAATTGGAAGTTACTGGGCTCATTTTCTCTATTATTTACAATAAGGAGAAGAAATATGTAAAGACTAAGACTTACTTTCCTTTCTCTAAATCAAGAAAGAAAGGTAAGGCATAGTGTTTTTTGACCTAGTTATTGAATAAGAAAACAAAATAGGGTCTAGGCTGTCAAAAATTGTTACATATAAGAATGTCCCTTACAGTATAAGACAGTTATAGGATCGAGGAAGGGTGTGTGCCCTATTTTTCAAGAACAGAGGCAAGAAGTAGCTACAGAAGAATCGGCATTAAAAACAAAATAAAAAACAAAACGCTATGTTTTCCATAATTATGAAATAGTTGTGACTCATTGGTTTATAGTTTTCTAAGGAGTATCATCATAGCTACTTTGTCATTGAGCAGCACTGCTGAAAATCAGGAAGTGTGCCTCCAAAGCACTGAAACCAACGTCAGAAGTAACGGCGCTAAACCTCATGCACATCGCTCAGAGGGTAATTCCTTGCTTTGAATGTCTTATTTTAAATCATCAGAAGGCTCTCAGTTTCCTTGTTTCTTGATCTAAACCAGATCCTGAGAGTTCAGGCACACCAACTAGAGCTTAGTGAGAAGCTGCAATCGGCAAGCTAAAGACGGGCAAGAAACTAAACTGTAAGGAACAGACACGAAAATGCAGCACGCACAGCAGGTGGGGGACACTCTGTGCTGGAGCACACTGCCCTCAACAGTCGGCTTTTTTCTAATTAACACATAATCACAGAACTTAATTAAAACAGTGAGTCATAAGTTATGGTTAACATATTAAATGGAACAAAGGATATATTTAAAATATCTAGAACTCAAAAAAATCAACAAGAAAAAAATCAAACAACCCCATCAACAAATGGGCAAAGGAAATGAACAGAAACTTTTCAAAAGAAGACAGAATAATGGCCAGCAAACATATAAAAAATGCTCAACCTCTCTAATCATTAGAGAAATGCAAATCAAAACCACAATGAGATATCTCCTAACCCCAGTGAGATTGGCCTCTATCAAAAGATCCCAAAACATCAAATGCTGGCGAGGATGTGGAGAGACAGGAACACTCTTACACTGCTGGTGGGACTGCAAATTAGTGCAACCTCTGTGGAAAAGAATTTGAAGATACCTCAGAGAGCTAAAAATAGAAATACCATTCGATCCAGCAATAGCACTATTAGACATCTACCCAAAAGAGCACAAAACGTTCTATGATAAAGACATCTGCACTCGAATGTTTATGGCAGCACAATTCACTATTGCAAGGATGTGGAAACAACCCAAGTGCCCATCAATCCATGAATGGATTATTAAAATTTGGTATATGTTTACAATGGAATATTACTCAATCATAAGAAACGACAGTGATCTAGAACCTCTTATACTTTCCTGGATTAAACTTAAGCCCATTTTCCAAAATGAGGCACCACAAGAGCAGAAGAATGGGCTCTACTTGTACTCGCCATCAAATTGGTACTAACTGATCAACATTAGGGTGATCACATGGCAGAAATACTCTCCAGGGATTAGGGGGATGGGGGGGCTAAATCTGCAACTAAAGGACATGGGGAGCACTGTAGGAGGGGAAGGGCATGCCTTTAACCCTCACCTGGGTTAGGCAAAGACATAAAGTGTAACCATAATGTTTGTACCCTCACAATACCCTGAAATAAAAAAAATAAAAATGATGGACATATTTGAAACACGGACTTGGGAGCGGGGAACCAAGGGCAACACACGTAACCTAAACATCTGTACCACGGGGAGGGCAGCGGGAGGAGGGGGGAGGAGGGAGGAGGGGACGGGTATTTGTATACACAAGGAGTGCAATGCGCACTACCCGAAGGATGGACATATTTGAAACACGGAACTGGGGGGGAACCAAGGGCAACACACGTAACTTAAACATCTGTACACCCATAATTTGCTGAAAAAACAAAACAAAACAAAAAAACAAACAAACAAAAAAAATAAAAATAAAAAAAAGATCCAGGAGCAATTCCTGATTAAAGGGGACTAAAAGGATAAGAATGCAAGGCATGCTTTCAGATTTTCTTTTGCTATAAAGGTAATTATTGCAACAATTTACCAAAAAATCTGTAGGTTAGATAATATTATAATGTTAATTTCCTAATTTCTTACTTGTACTTGTTTGTAAACAAGAGAATTCCTGCTCTCCCCACCATATGAGGACACAGCAAGAAGGCGGCCACCTTCAAGCCAAGAAGAGAGCCCTTAGCAGAACCGGACCCTGCTGGTACCCTGTTCTTGGACTCCCAGCAACCAGAACTATGAGAAATAAATTTCTCTTGTTTAAGCCAAAAAAAGAAAAAAAAAGTATTTACCCAAAAAATCTACCTAAAATAGTTAAAATAAATTTACAAGGGATTTAGTTAGAGGGAAAAATCCTTTTCC